GTGGAGCCGCACAGCCCCTTCCCGCCTCAGGTCTACCTGCACGCCATCGTGCGCGATGCCCATGGCCGGAAGATGAGCAAGTCTCTGGGCAATGTCATCGACCCCCTGGATGTCATCCACGGAGTCTCCCTGCAGGTGGTGCCCGGCAGCCGGGAGGCCTTGGGGGGGCTGCTGGGCTGTGGCCATGCCCTGACTCCTCCCACTGCACCCTCAGGGCCTCCACGACCAGTTGCTGAACAGCAACCTGGATCCCAGTGAGGTGGAGAGGGCTAAAGAAGGGCAGGTACGTAGGAGGGCCAGGCCGGGGCGTGGGCAGAGGGAGGCGGGGCTGGCTCAGGACTCCAGCCCGGCTCCTCCGCAGAAGGCAGACTTCCCGGCAGGGATTCCCGAGTGCGGCACCGATGCCCTCCGGTTTGGACTGTGCGCCTACACATCCCAGGGTAGGACCCCAAACCTCTCCCCGCCCTCTTCCTCCCTGAGGCCACCCCTCCTCCGCCCTGGGCAGGTTGGGAGGGCGAGCTGAGGACACTTCCCGCACCAGGGCGTGACATCAACCTGGACGTGAACCGGATCCTGGGCTACCGCCACTTCTGCAACAAGCTCTGGAACGCCACCAAGTTTGCCCTTCGTGGCCTGGGCAAGGGTTTCGTGCCCTCGGCCACCTCCGAGGTGAGGGCCTGGTGGGCTCGGAGTGACCCCCACAGGCTGCACCCTGCCGCTCGACCCAGGAGCCTCTATATGGGGGGCGCAGAGCAGAGGTTGCAGGAGACGCCCAGGCATTGGGTTCTCCCCCCATATGGGCATGTGGCTTCCCACCGTCAGGCTCTGAGTGCATATTTGCCCATGGTTCCTGCCTCCTGGGGTTCTGGCTCCCTCCCCCTGGTGGCCCTGGCTGACCTGCCCCTCCCCCCCAGCCTGGAGGCCACGAGAGCCTGGTGGACCGCTGGATCCGCAGCCGGCTGACCGAGGCCGTGAGGCTCAGCAACCAAGGGTTCCAGGCCTACGACTTCCCGGCCGTCACCACCGCCCAGTACAGCTTCTGGCTCTATGAGCTCTGTGATGTCTACCTGGTGAGGAGGAGCACAACGGGGCAGGGGCAGCGAGCCCTGAGCCAGCCTGTCCCCTCCCAGCTGGTCACAGGCACAGCGAGGGCTGGAGACTAGATCTTTCCCAGCCCTGAACCCGCCTCTCGTCCCCTAGGAGTGCCTGAAGCCTGTGCTGAGTGGGGTGGACCAGGTGGCTGCTGAGTGCGCCCGCCAGACCCTCTACACCTGCCTGGACATTGGCCTGAGGCTGCTCTCGCCGTTCATGCCCTTCGTGACTGAGGAGCTGTTCCAGAGGCTGCCCCGGCGGCTGCCCCAGGCCCCCCCCAGCCTCTGCGTCACCCCCTTCCCAGAGCCCTCAGAGGTACGGGGTGTGGTCAGGGCGGGGCTCGGGCCTGTACCCTGCCCTCCTCACCCTCCTCCGCCCCACAGTGCTCCTGGAAGGACCCTGAGGCAGAGGCGGCCTTGGAGCTGGCCCTGAGCATCGCCCGAGCCGTGCGCTCCCTGCGTGCCGACTACAACCTCATCCGGACCCGGC